GCGGGAGGTGGAGACGTGATGCCTCTCTGCTGTGTGGAGGGATGCCGCCAGGCATGCCATGTGGGGCATGACTCTGGCCCTGGGATGCGTGCTTGCCTTGAGAGCTTTCAAAGCCAAAAGACCTTGTGCCTTCTCCTGTGACTCCGCCTCTGCCAATACTGGCCAGGCTTGGGGTAAGCAGAGATGATGGGTGGGTGTCAACACACATCTGGATCCAGAGCAGCCAAATTCATGCCTGCACAGGGCAGGAGGAGGCAGCACAACCTCAGCATCTGGGCTCTGGATGGGGCTACAGATGATGCTGCTCTTTGCTTGCACTGAGGGCTGCTCCTTTCCCCTGGTCAGGGCCAACCCGGTGTGGCTGGACCCCTTCTGCAGGAACATGGAGCTGGCGGCACAGGCAGAGCACGAGGACGACCTGCCGGAGAACCTAAGTGAGATCACCGACCTCTGGAACAGCCCTGCCCGCACCCACGTGAGACATGGCCCCTGCCAGGACACCTCCTCCCCGTGCCCAATGCCCACACTGCCTCCTCAGCCACTCTCTCCTCCTGCAGGGGACCTTCGGGAGAGAGCCCTCCGCAGCCAAGCCCGAGGATGACCGCTACCTGCGGGCAGCCATCCAGGAGTACGACAACATTGCCAAGCTGGGGCAGATCATGCGGGAGGGACCCATCAAGGTGAGTGATGAGTTCAGGCATCGTCCACCAAGGGGTCTTCTACCGCTACGGCTTCCAGGTTCACGGCTGCAGCACCGGAGGGTGATATTGCTCAAAAAAATGCTGGGATGAGGCCAGCCTCCCTCCGACCAAACCATCTCCCTTGGATAACCTGTTGTCTCTCCCCCTACGCTCAGGGCTCTCTCTTGAAGGTGGTCCTGGATGATTACATGCACTTGAAAAAACTCTTTGCCCAGCGGATGGTGCATAAGGCCACCGCCAGTCAGGGGGACCGCTCCTCGGTCTCGGAGGTAGACGGGGTGTGCATGGGCATGGGGAGATGCTTGCCGTGCCCTCTGGGATGCAGTGTGTCTTCCCAGCCCTGCAGGCTGCGGTCACTCCCCGCGGCCGTGGTCCCTGTCACCCAGTGTTCCCCCCGTCTCTGCTTGGCCAAAATGAGCCAGACGCTGGTTTTCCACTGAGGCTGCCAGTTCCCCACAGTGCCCCAGCTCTCGTGACCCCCTGTGTTTCCTCTGAGCATCAGCAGCACCCTCTCCCTCAGTCTCTCCCACCCTGGGGGAGGAACCCCCTCTTTGCGGAGTGGGCTCTGTCCATCACCTCCCTGTCTCTCTGCCGAGGCTGGCCAAGAAGCTGCAGGTCCCTGCACACACATGGGCACATCTTCCCTCCCCTCTGCTCCTCTGAGCTTATCAGCCTAGCAGGTTTTTGGGGCAAAAAGGCTGGGACAGAGGGTTTTGGTGCAGGAGGACTGGTGGGGGGAGAAGCAGCTCCTCCCACAGCCTTCCCCCTCTTCATGGGGGGCAAAACATGGAGCAAACAAAGTGGAGGAGAGCAGTGGGACAGGAGACACCTTTCAGCCCTTCTGCCCCCCATCCGTCCTTGCCCTCATCGCCCTCCAACCCATCCAGCCTTCCCTTGACTCCTTTCCTTGTCTGCCTCCTGCACCACCACCCTCATACAAGCCCAAATGCCAACCCAGGTCCAAACCTCAGCCGCTGCAGGGGCTGCTGTGGGACACACCACCCAGCCAGCAGCCGGCGCCTGAGCTGGGGCGCCCACCCAATGAGCGAGAGATCCAGCTGGAGATCATCATCGTGCTGGTGATCCTCATTGCCATGCTCTGAGGTTGCTTCAGAAGTGGAGGGTCCCATCCCTCCCGCTGGGCTCCAGCATTGCAGGAGGTTCAGAGGCGGGGAAGCCAGGATCTGTTCTGGCTGCGGTGGTGATTCCCCCGCTCCGTGGACCTTTTGCAGCTGATCCAGAAGGAGATGGAGGAGGAGGAGGAGGAGCGCGGCCCCGGCCAGGGCAGCCTCCGCTTCCGACACAAGCAGCCAGTGGAGCTGAAAGGTCCCGACGGCATTCACATGGTGCACGGCAGCACGGGCACGCTGCTCGCCTCCGACCTCAACAGCCTGCCCGAGGATGACCAGAAGGTGCTGGGTCGCTCGCTGGAGACTCTGACCGCTGACTGCGGGGGCTACAGTGACCACAACGCCCGCACCGAGTCGGCCAAGTCCACCCCCCTGCACAAGATGCGGGAGGTGATCATGGAGAGCCCGCTGGAGATCACCGAGTTATGACGAGAGGTGGCGGTGGTACCTCTAGGCAAAAGCCGGGGCCAGCAGGAACGAAGCATGGACAAGGGGGGCCATGGCGGGGGCTGGGAGCACCCCGAGACCAGCGCTTGGCCCCCCCTTCCCCTGCAGAAGGAGTCCAGGCAGGGCGGGGCCAGCAGGAACGAAGCATGGACAAGGGGGGCCATGGCGGGGGCTGGGAGCACCCCGAGACCAGCGCTTGGCCCCCCCTTCCCCTGCAGAAGGAGTCCAGGCCAACCGGTGCGGTTCGCTCTGGCAGCCTTGGAGAGCTTGGCCCCAGGAAAGGGCTCTCAGGACCGGTTTGCTTTTACTCGCCTGTCATTTATCCATGAAAGCATTAAATTTTTTTTATTTTTCTTATTAAAAAAAGAGGGTTTTTTTTTAAAAAAACAAAAAAGAAAAGCTAAACGAATCAAATGAGTCCAGGCTGGACAGGGGTGAAGGTGCAGTGAAGGTGCGGACGATGTGCCACCGCAGCATCCCCGGCGGGTACTCCTCTAGGCAAGCCGGGGCCAGCAGGAACGAAGCATGGACAAGGGGGGCCATGGCGGGGGCTGGGAGCACCCCGAGACCAGCGCTTGGCCCCCCCTTCCCCTGCAGAAGGAGTCCAGGCCAACCGGTGCGGTTCGCTCTGGCAGCCTTGGAGAGCTTGGCCCCAGGAAAGGGCTCTCAGGACCGGTTTGTCGCCTGTCGCCTGTCATTTATCCATGAAAGCATTAAATTTTTTTTATTTTTCTTATAGAGGGTTTTTTTTTAAAAAAACAAAAAAGAAAAGCTAAACGAATCAAATGAGTCAGGCTGGACTCATTTATCCATGAAAGCATTAAATTTTTTTTATTTTTCTTATTAAAAAAAGAGGGTTTTTTTTTAAAAAAACAAAAAAGAAAAGCTAAACGAATCAAATGAGTCCAGGCTGGACAGGGGTGAAGGTGCAGTGAAGGTGCGGACGATGTGCCACCGCAGCATCCCCGGCGCAGGCTGGGGCCAAGCAGCCGTCACACCTCGACCGCGGGCACGGGGAGGGCCGGGGCAGTGCGGGGAGAGGCCGAGCCCATTTGGCATTAACGTCACCTTTCTGGCAAGGAAAGACCAAAAAACAAAAACATTTCTCCATTTTGCTGGCTTTACCAAAACATGTTGCGACCTCGAAAAAGAGAGAGACTGACAATAACTGGGGCTTCTGGATGTGGAGTGCTCGTGCGTGTCTTTTATGCCCTTTTCTTTCCCCTTCTCTCTTGCTTTCAGGTTTGTTCGTTCGGGGGTTTGTTTCCAATCGTAACCTTGTGGAGAGTTTCGGGCATGGTCTGTTACGGGACTCAGAAATACACTGTCTATGGCTTTGGGTAACCTGTCTGTTGTCCTTCTTCCCCAGCCGTGCCGCGCCGCGCCAGATTCATCATACCCAAATCACCTTTTGAAAAGAAAACCCCCTTTTACCCTTAATTCTCCCCTCCATCCATCAACTTCATGAGACGCCACCCTGGGTGTTGCTGCACCCTGGATTTGGGAGGAAGCATTAAACCTCCCCTAAGTTTTCCCCCCCTTGCCACGCCGCCAGCCCCCCGGCACCCCAGGACAAGGAGGAGGGAGACAACCAGCCAGGCTCATGGGAAGAGTTTATTTGCAGTGAGATGCTCCTGTGCACACTCAGAACTGGGCGCCACGGGCATTCCCCCTCCCGTGGCGGAGAGGGATGAGCCAGCGCCCCACTGTCCCTCGCCACCACGGCTGGGTTGGCACAGGACCCCCCCCAGCAGGGTTGTGTGCCTGAAAGGAAATCTTTGCCCCCAAACTCACTCATTTTTTGTTCAGGGGATACTTAAAATATATATATCTATCTCCAGCAATCAGCTGGACACAAAATTAGTGTACTGCAAATGTCATGCAAAGCCGGGCATTGCAAGTAAATTTAATCCACTTTGTTTCTTTAACTGGTGACCAGGGGGGAAAAAAAAATAAAAAGCCACCCCAATTTGAAGAGGGACCAGCAAAGCGCTGGGCTTGCCAAAAGCCAACAAGACCTGCAGTGCGAGGCTGCCAGCGGCCGGCAGCTGGACACAAAATTAGTGTACTGCAAATGTCATGCAAAGCCGGGCATTGCAAGTAAATTTAATCCACTTTGTTTCTTTAACTGGTGACCAGGGGGGAAAAAAAAATAAAAAGCCACCCCAATTTGAAGAGGGACCAGCAAAGCGCTGGGCTTGCCAAAAGCCAACAAGACCTGCAGTGCGAGGCTGCCAGCGGCCGGGACCAGGGGGCCGGCATTTGGGCAGCAGAAACCGTCCCAGCCCACAGGAATGGATCCACGTTGCAGGATCTGGGCTTTACAACTGGTTCAGGGTGGGATGGGCATGGGGATGGGGATGAGGAGGGGGATAGGGGTGAGAATGGGAATGGGGATGTGGGTGGGGATGGGGATATGGGTGGGGATGGGGATATGGGTGACGATGGGGATGGAGATTTTGCAGTTGCCCTGAGAGACGTCAAGGCTGAAATCCCCAGTCCTGAAAATACTGTCCCTTAACCTGATTTGGAAATCCAAGCCCCAGGGGTGGAAAAGGAAGCAGCAGAGGTGGCTGGGACGCCCCACAGCCCCTGCTGGGGTGGTGAAGCCGGTGGGCTCCTGCCGTTGCCGTCCGTGGGTGCAGGTGCGTCCCAAGGGAGGGGGTCCCGGGATCCTGAACCAAAACGGCGGGGCAAGCCCGGCCAGCTGGGGAGGTGGCTCCTAGTTCCATAGGTGACGCCGGCAGTGCTCAACGGCCTGTGGGAGAGACAGAGAGGGGTGGCAGGGATCCCCAGCACCCTGCCGACC